TCCAGCATCCAACCTGAGGAGCACACCTGGGTGCTGATCCCTGCCGTACAACTGGAACATTTCTACAACTTCATCTGTGAGCACTGGATACTGAGTAGAAAACCGAAACAACCAGCCCCAGCCCCACCCTTTGATTTGTTGTGGTGTCAGCACAGCAGCCTACAGCTGAGTTCCTAAATGCCACTTTGGACTAATTTAACAAAGAATCCCAGTTTTTACTTTTACTCCATGGTGAAATTGGTTGCTCTAGTATTTTATGAAAAAAATGATTTTTAACCATCATATATAGAAGCAAAAACACTTTAACTGCAAATGTTAATAGAAGTGCAATCATGCTGTTTTTTTTTTATTTTGATTGGAGAAAAATTAAATTGCTGCATTTTACTGTGACCCATTTACTTGGCATTCTCAGCTTAGGCTGCATACAAAGAAATATATGTGGTAAAATGTTGGAAACATTTCTCTCCCGGTCTCTTTAATGTTGAAAGGGTGAGCTAATAGCAAGCAAATTCCACTTCACTCCCTCACACCCCTCCCCAGACTGCCAGTTTCTATTGTTCTGTTTTGTTTTTTGAAACAGGGTCTCACTATGTAGTTCAGACTGATCTGGAACTCACTTTGTAGCCCAGGCTGGTCTCGAACTCACAGAGATCCTCCTGCCTCAGCCTCCCAAGTGTTGGGATACAGGCGCTCACCACCACGCCTGGCTGGACTGCCAGTTTCAAGGATGCAGCTGACTCATGAAGCATTGAGGTCAGTGCACTGTTTACTTCCACCTGTTTGGCAGACACATTTGTGCCCAGCGTTTGGGAGCCCTTTTCATCACTCACTTGCTTTAACGACGGTTCCCCTAATCTCACCCTACTAAGATGGATACGATGGATCTTCTGTGCCTTTGTTGAGATTGGGAGAAATAAAATGTGCAATTTAAGTGGAAGTAAAAAACAAAACAAAACAAAACACCAAAAACCAACAAAACATTCTACACCATGGTGAACCTTAAGGACATTATGCTAAGTGAAAAAGACTTATTACAAAAAGACAAATACTAGCTGGGCATGCTGGCCTTTGCAAGGCAGGCAAGAAAGTAAGTTTTTAAAAGTTTGATAAAAAGAAGAAACTTGTATATTCTCAAAGTTATTCTCCTAAGATGTTTATTAAGCTCTGGGAGAAAAACAGCAACATCAAAGTGAAGCAGCCGAGCAGAAACCTCCTCTACTGATGATCGTGCTCAAGGTCGCTAGGGCTGACACTCTTCAGATCCTGCCGCTGAGATGAGTAGACTGGATAAGTGCATAACTGAAGGGCAGTGCATAATTAAGGGCAGCGTCACTGCTGAGCAATCCTGCCAAAAATGCAGCACCTTGGGCCCCTCATGGACAAACACTGACAAAGCCAAAGCCAGAGCCAGCAACATGGACAATACTGATTTGGATGAGTTAAAACGTGTCAAGGTCAAGCCACATGTGGTGACACTTGCCTGTAGTTCCAGCACTCAGGAGGCTGAGTCAGGAAGATTGCCAGCCTGAACTCCATAGTAAGACTGTGTCTCAAAAAAAAAAAAATTAAACAAACAAACAGTATCAAGGTCATGGAAGAAAAGCAAGGGCTGGGGAACTGCATGTACAAGCCTAAGAAACTGTAGGAGGTGAAGAAGAAATGACTATTCATTACAGTATCTGATCATGAATGGGACTCTGAACCCACAAAAGACATTAGGTGCGGGACATGGTAGTGGATGCTTGTAATCTTAACACTTGAGAGACAGGAGGATCACAGTGAATTTGAAGCCAGCCTACAATGAGTTCAAGGCCAACCTGAACTACATAGTGAGACTGTCACACACACACACACACGCACACACACACACACACACACACACACACATGAAGACAAAATGTGTGAACTTTCAATCAGGACTTCAGTTTAGCTAACACATTCATGTTAATTAGATGGTTTCGGTTTATTTAAACTCATTATTTGACTAAATGGCTTAAATTCATTTATTTAAATTTATAAGTCTAGTTATTTAGTGAAATGAGTTGAGGTCCTCTCCTCCTGGGGGCTCTGCTGATGACCATGGAGACCCCTGCCACCCCCACCCCGAGTCTGCAGGCCTCACCCACCTTCAGGCCACTTTGGCTTCTGGTCTCCTGTTTCCTAAGCAGAACTTGATGAGCTAGGGATGAGCCTCTCTCTCCTCTTACCCTTGTTGCTCCATGGGGCTTTAAGGAGGAGACTTGGCATCTGTTCACTGCAGACAGGATGACCCTCCGGCCCCTGCCTACCCGAGGGTCACATCTATCACAGCTGCCGCTCCCCATGCCCAGTGGACAGTCCTTTCCTTAGGTTCTCAGAGTGTGGCCTCTAATGTCCACCCGGAGCCTGTGGGGCACTCTCAGGTACATGAAAGTCGATATGCTGGGCACATCTTTTGCGGTGACAGACGAGCCACATCTCCCGGAGTCTGGACCAGGGGACACTGTGGCCAGGGTCTGTGGGCATAGCACAGACTCGAGCTCAAGCTGGGAGTGATGGTGCACACCTGTAATCGCAGCACTCAGGAAGCTGAGGCCAGAGGATCGCCACAAGATTGAGGCCAGCCTGGGCTACATAGCAAGACCCTGTCTCAAAAACCCAAACCCAAACCCAAACCCAAACCCAAATGAAACAAAAATACAGAGAGCTCACATCTCTGAAGCAGAAGTAGGAGGAAGCATAGACAAAAAAGACTACACAAAACTTAAAAGAAACTTTTCAGTGCTGGGGATGGAACCCAGGGGCTCATGCAAGCTAGGCAGATAAGCCCCTACCCCTGAGCTACACTCCCAGCCTCAAATTCCTGTCCCCCCTTTTGTTTTGCAGTCTACAGATGGAACTCAGAACCTTGCACATGCCAGGAAAGGGCTCTACTTTGAGCTATGCACCCAGCCCTGAGCCATCACAAAACTTAACGTTTGTGACAGGAACAGCTCAGGTCACACAAGAAATCGTCAGGTTTCAGCCATGAGAGAGCCTACATACTTCACTACCTAAACAAACATTTTAACAAGGAATTAGTAATTGCTAAGTTGGCAAATTGCTACTTAAAAAGCTTGTCTCTGGACTTGATGATTGAACCCGCTGGTCCTGTGAGTGAGTAAGCCGGGTAAGTGGGCAAATTCCCCATGGAGAAGCAGCTGGCACCAGACCGGCCAGCACACTCCTGCCCAGGGGTTGGGGCTGGATCCGGCTTTCTGACTTGGACTGTCCCAGGGTGCTCAGGGGCATCTCTGAGGTGGGCGGAGGTGGCGATGGCGGAGGAGGCAGAGTTGCTCCCTTGGGCGTCGCCCGAGGTCAGCTCTGGGACCAGAATTTGCAGGTGCTTATGAGGCTCTGGCTGGAGGGCGTCTAGGTGCTGAGGTCCCCAGAAGAGGGTCACAGAGGGCCTGCCGGGGGTGGGGCACAGGCTGGGCTGGAGGAGAGGGAACTGGCTTAGCTGGGGCTCAGAACCAAGAGGGCCTGGAGCTGGGCCAGAGCACAGGTGTCTGTGGCCAGGGTCCAGTCCTGGGCCTTGTGGCTCTCCTGTCCCTTGGCCTTGTGCCCCCCAGGCACTGGGGGCCCGTGTCTCAGCCAAGGGCCAGGTGTGTGCTCACTGGGGCTCACTGGAGGGGCTGTGCTTAAGGGGGCCCGGGTCTCATGGGCAGAGTCAGCAGTGGCCGCAGGGTGTGGGTGGGCAGTTGTTGCCGGAGTCCTGTGGTGGGGCGGTCAGGCTGGTGAACTCCCAAGAGGGGCACTGTAGGCTGGGTGTCCAGCCAGGGTCTGGGGCTCTGCGTGAGCTCATGGCCCCTGCATGGCCCACATGGTCACGGGCACACACATCTGTGCAACGTGTGCAGGTGTCATGCATCCCTCAGAGGTGAAGCCTCCACCCACCTCTGCCTGAGGGGTCATGTGAGGTGTGGGGCTGGGACCGACAGCACCCTCTGGCCCAGGGAGGCTGGCTGGCCAAGGCTTGGGGCTCCCCATATCCCACAGGAACTCGGAGGCCCCTGCTCTGGCAGGTAAACATTAATTAGGCCCTGCCACACCCTTGAGGGCCGCTCTGGTAGAGGTGGGAGGCTGGCCTCCTGGGGACAGTGGCTCAGATCTCCACCCTGGCCTGGACCCCGAGGACAGGACCACAGAGGACCAGTGCTCCTGACTCCTGGCCTGGGGGGTCTCCCAGCCCTCTGCTCCAAAGAGTCCTAGACCCCACCGGCCCACCGTGTTGCACAGGCTCCCTCCACTGACGATGGGTGACACAGCTCAGAAGGTGTGGCTGTCCCCATTTTACAGATGAGGAAGTGAGGCTCCAGTCAGCTGGTGACTAAGGGAGGCAGCGTGTGGCACGTGGCTGGGGCGTCCCTACTGTTCTGAGTAAGACAGCAGGCAGCCTGCCTTCACACATGATGTGCAAGGACTTTGGGGGTACTTTGGAGGACTCTGGCCAGGGTGACTGACCTGAGCAGTGGGGCGGGTGGGTGTCCTCAGTCTGTTCCTCCAGCACCCGCAGGGAAGACTGACCTCACGGAGCCTCAGAGAGCCCCTGAAAGGACCGGTGTGATATGCTGGCCCTCAGTGGCTTCCCAGGTTCCTATGGAACCTCCAGGAGCCTGGCTGCACACCCCAGGGTGGTGATCAGCAGGGGGTGATCCTTGAGCCTCCAGAGCCTGGTGTGGGGAGCTTGCACCCTTGGGGCTGGTGGGACTGCCCCCCCAGCTGTCCCCAGCGGTTGTCACCTTCTGGAGCACTTGGCTCTGCCTTGGGGATGGAGTCTGTCCTGAGCTGTCCTGTCCTGCCCCTGGCTTCCTGGCAAAAGGGTGACGTCGCATTGGAGGGCAGTGCCCAGCAGTGGGGTTCACCCAGGCTCCTCCTCCCACTGCCTGACTCACTCACCGCCTCCTGGGCCAGGTGGAGCTTGGCGGGTACCCCGTGGCCTGCATCAAAGGTGCCTATAAAAGCGAGAGGCTGGAAGGTCAGGTGTCCTACCTGTCCCTGCAGCAGTGTCACCATGCTGGGAGGCTTAGGGAAGCTGGCGGCTGAGGGCCTGGCCCACCGCACCGAGAAGGCCACTGAGGGAGCAGGTGAGGCGAGCAGAGGGCTCTGGGTAGACTGAGGCCCACATCCCTACCGGACTGGTGGAGTCGGGGTACAGGGCCTGAAGAGCAGCGCCTCACAGGACCCATGGGACCTGCTCCTCCCTGGGGCTCTGGGGTCAGGCAGGCCGGGCTGTTTGAGTGGCCAGGCTGGGAGGTCCCCCTGGGGGCGGGAGCCCTTCAGCATCAAAAAGGCCTGTTCCATGCAGCCTGGGCAGACCAAGGAGGGCAGACTTTAATTTTCACCTAAGTTTAAAGCTGAAATGAAGGTCCCTTCATTTGGAAATGAGCTCTGATTGTGCTCAAAGTCTGAAAGCCTGTTTTCCAGTTCCTCTGAGGACCAGGGAATGATGGCTCAGTTCCCACCCGTGGGACATGATGCACAAGAGCTTGTGCCTGGGCTTGCTGGTCTCCCTTGGAGCGGCTGCTTGTGTGTCTGGCTTCACACTTCTTTTCTCCTCTCTTGTTTTCCCTCCCCACTTCTTCCTCCTCTTCCTCTTCTTCTCTGTCACTGTCTCTGTCTCTCCCTGCTCTGCACTGGGGATTGAGCCCATGGAATTCATACTGAGTTATATTCTGGCCCTTTTAAGAACTGTTGCTTTGAGACAGGATCTTGCTAAATGGCAAAGTTGCCCAAACTGAGCTTGAACTTGTGATTTTCCCACCTCAGCCTCCCACAGTGCTGAGATCAAGATGTCACCTACTACATTCAGCACGCTCTTCTTTCTTAGCTCCACAGTTGGTGTGGATGGCCCTCTTTACTCTTGCACTATCTCTCAATTGTGTTATTCCCACTGGCAGATGAGGGGCCCAGCGGTGGGAGGTGGATTTATGGACCCATCAGGGGGGCAGGGCATGAGCATGGCTGCTCATCCCGAGGGTGTGGTGACCTGGTGGACGCCCAGACTGGCTCAGGTCCCCAGTGGGAAGGAGGCTGCTCCCAACGCTGCAGGCCCTGTTGGGCCTCAGACCTGGGTGGCCTTCTCTGGAAGGGAGCCCTCCTCCCCAGCCACCCTGTCCCGGCTAGGGTAGCATCCAGGGCCCACAGGATGTCGGGAGGGGAGGGCTGCGTGTGCTGCACTGTGAGCTGTCTCCTTGTTCCAGTTCAAGCTGTGGAGGAGGTGGTGAAGGAGGTGATGGAGCACGCCAAGGAGGCCGGGGAGAAAGGTGCGGAGGCAGGGTGGATGGTGGGAAGGAGGGAGGGGGCGAAGGACCGGGTGAGGGCTGGGGCGGCTCTGCTGGAGCTTTTGCCTGGCGTTTGGGGGTCCCAGCATCCAGCTCCAGTGCAGCTGCTAGAATAAAGAAGGTTGGAAGGAAGTAGGGAGAGGGGTGAGCAGGCCCCCGAGATGGAGGGAGGAGGAGAGGGAAGCGACTCCTTCCCTACCTGACCAGGCCAGGCCCCACAGGAGCAGTAACCGTCTTGCGCACTCATCCACCCAGAGTGGTGGGGAATAAAGCTAATCTGAGCTCATCTTCAGCCCTGCGTCCTTGGTGCCGCTCCTGAGCGCCCACCCCCAGGCCGTCCCAGGTGACACTGGCATGTCGAGGGCCACCCACATGGCTTTCCTCTTTCTTCCTGACAGTCATCTCTGATGCCTTAAAGCGAGCCCAGGAGTCCGGGGGAAAAATGGTGCACGAAGTCACAGAGAAGGTGGCCCATGGTGTCTCTGAGGCTATCACCCACGTGATGGAGGGCAATGACCAGGAAGGGTAGTGACCTCCTGCCCCCTTGGCCATCTCAATAAAAGCTGGACATGTACGTGCAGAGCTCTGGATTCACTCCCGTGTGGCTGGAAACATGGGGCACATCTATGGTGTCCTCTGCTGGGGGATGGGGATGCCAGCACCGGCCACCGATCGCCTTGGGTGTGAGAAGATCCTGTGGTTAATCAGATGATGTTTCTGTCCCACACTAAGATTTCTCATGACAGCGAGCAGCTCTTAGTCTTGAGCCTAACCATTGAGACAGGGTCTCATGATGTAGTTAAGGGTGGCCTTGAACTCACTATGAAGCCCAGGCTGGTCTTGAACTTTAGGTGATCCTTCTGCCTCAGCCTCCTGAGTGCTGGGATTACAGGAGTGCACTACCATGCATGGCCGGTTAGGTTCAATGCTGACCGTGTGGGGAAATTTGATTCCATTTGTGACAAATTTAGTTTGTGACCAGAATCATGGAAAGAATTAAGTTTGTGAACCAAGTGGGGAATCTGGGGAAGATGGCCATAGTTATGTTTGTCACCTAATGCAGAGTTCTCAAACAAGAGCAAAATTCTGCCAGCCACTTCTTTTTGTGAACCTAATGGTTTGCAAACAGAAGCATTTGGGAACTGAGGTATTACTGTAAGCTAATATTACAAAACACAAGCAACTAACTTATATGAGATCAAAATATATGGTGAATGTTTAAACTAAAAAGGTATTTTTTACATTAAAAGCCACATTGCAATGAATCCCCTTCAAATTACTTATTTGGGACACCTGTACCCTGGTTTTTACCTTTGTTCTTTTCTTTTTATGCCTTTCTTTCTCTCCTTCTCTCTCCTCTTCCTTTCTCTCCCCCCCGCCTTCTTTCTTTATTTGGACAGGTCTCTACATAGCCCAGGCTGGCCTCAAACCTATAGTCATTTTCCTGTCTTAGCCTTCTGAGTACTGGGATTACAGGTGCACCATCTTGCCGGGCTAGTTTTTATCCTCTTTTTTATTTCCTTGCCACTTTCTGAAGCAGTTCCAGAAGTGCTCTTTGGTGTCTTTGTAAGATATGATTAAAAAAATATCATGAATGCAGCTGTAGAGTGCCATCCCGTAAAAACATGAAAAGTCTGTCCTCCCTCACCTCATTCACTGGATCTGGCCCCATGTGACTTCTGGCTTTTCCCCAAAGTCAAAATAACCAAGAAAGGTAAAACTTTTGACACCAGGCAGCCAAGACAGTGTAACTAAAGGCACTCATGAAAGAGGACTTCCAGAACTGCTTCAGAAAGTGGAAAGAAGACGGGGTGTGTTCAAAGTGAGGATGTTCCGAGGGAGGTTAACGGCAGTGTGTTTTTTACTATAATTAAAAAAAATTTTTTAAATATTCACCATACTTTTGGTCACACATTGTATATCATGTAAAATGAGATCACTTCTATAAGTCAAACATATAATTTATAAGGCAAATAAACCTGGTAGGATACATATAGCACAAATATTAAGAGTGCTGATTCCTGTAGGAAAATGGGAAATCCTTGCTTTTTACGTTACCTATTTCCTTGATGTTTGAATTTAGAGAAAACCAGTACAGATATTTTAAAAACTGCGGTTGTGACTCGCAGAACTGCCAAACTCCCCGTGTTTGTGGAGGAAGTGCTCATTTCTGCAAGAGTGCTTCCTAATGAAGTGCACTCAGAAGTTTGCTGGTCTGCGCCCTTGGGGATGTCCCCTGAGTGGAGGATCCTGCAGAGGTGTGTCAGGCTGGGGTTGTTGAGCTTGTCAGGCAAGGTGTGTGTCAGCCAGTCACAGGCTACAGGACGACATCGAATGATGAGTTAGATGAACAAACCCATGCTCCTGCAGAGGTGGAGAAGTGCCCTGCCCACAGCTGCCTAGCTTCACCTTGTAGGTGGTCGCCGGATCAAGTGCTTCCTTCTGCCCATCTTCCTTCCACTGTGTGTGTGCCCTGCACCAAAAGGCAGGGAACTGCCAGCAGATAAACTGTTATTAAAAAAAAAAAAAAAGAGCAGCCCATGCACGTGG